AGCATCCGCAGTCTTTCGCTTTTTCTTCCGCTTCTTGTCACGCTTTAGCTTGCGCACGAGAGTCTCTAGCAGGGCATTGGTCTGCGCCAATTGTCCTTCTAGAACGTCCAATCGAGCCTTGGACGACCGAACCTCGCCACCGGACTCCTGTTTGGAAGTTTCCTCACTGGAGTCCTCCTCATGCAAGGATTCCTCATCCATAGCCTCCTGTTCGACCGGAGGCTCCAGCTCTGGAGGAGGTTCCGTCTCTGCCTGGGTTCGCTTACGTCCTGCCCTTGCCATCTCCCAGCAATCCGCCTCTATCCTTTGCTAGAACTGAGGAAGAGGCTCCGATACCAAATTGTAAGCCACAAATTTTTCCTTTACAATTTGCCAGCTTACCTCGTCTATCCGGCCAACTCTGCCTTGGCTTGTGCTAAGTTCCCTCGCCAAGGTTCTCGCCTATGGTACCAGCTCCTACTTGGTCCTACTTGGTTTCAGCTACTCATTGCACGAGCAACGGAGTGTTAGCCATCCATCTACGGATTCCCAAATCTCTCCCAATCCCCCTCCTCGGGTTAGACTGGACTTAAGGTTCGGCTACACTCCCCGCAGGCACAAGCAGCCAAGCACACCAAGCCTCCAGATTCCTAACACCCCTTGGTACCACAAGACTTGATCATGGGACCCTCTAAATCCCAAGCCTTGGGTGCAGCACTTGCTTCGGGACGTCGGGGCGAAACACCGTGGCCTAACGGCCCGGTATGGGTACCTCTACCCCCCCTCTTCCATCCCGAAGGGAAGGCCCAAGCCCCCGGAAGGGCGAGGACCAATGAGCCACAAGGTACTCAAGTGGGGCACCACTCCACCTAAGCCGGGAGCACCGTAGTCGGTTTCCCTTTCGGGAGTGGGAGCTGCTCTTGAGCACTTCCTTGGACGGCCCCTCCGGAATCAGCCAAGTCCATGCTCACTCCCACCCAAGGCCCCTCGGTCCCAGTCTCAACCTCAAGTCGGTTTGGAAGCCCAACTGGAGAGTCCCTTCAAAACTGGTTCCTGGACCTCACTATCCCTACTATACTTTTGGAACCCCCTGCAGCCCCCCCCCCCTGGGAGACGCACGCTTTGGGCTTTCACCCCTTGACCCGTATTAGTATTTGGACTTAGTCTCTGGCTCGATCTCAGACCCGATTTCGGATCTGACTTCGGATTCGGTCTCAGACTCGATCTCGGACTTGATCTCGGACCCGATCTCGGACCCGACCTCGCACTCGACCTCGGACTCGGTCTCGGACCCGATTTCGGATCTCGGACTCCGTCTCGAACTCGGTCTCGAACTCGAACTCGGTCCCCGAGTCGGTCTCGGACTCGATTCCGGACTCTATCTCGAACTCGGTCCTAGAGTCGGTCTTGGACTCGATCCTCGACTTGGTCCCATCCGATGAACTCTTTGTCATTTCGGTCAAGCTTTTGGGGATCCTTTAGCCTACGACATCTCGGGGAGTCGGTTCCTTACACTTGCGTGTTGGAGAAGGCACTAGACAGTCTCTAGTAAAGTGTGATAGGTAGCACACATCATTATGAACTAGATCCAACAAGTTTGTAACTTGCTCCTTCATGGTTCTTGATATGAATGAAAGGCAAATTTGTAAGCAACCAAAGAGAACAACTCGAAAGATGATCTATAATGGTTTAAATATAAAGGGAAAAAGCCTATGAATAAGAGTGCACCCCCTTTTCCAATCGATTAAGGGTCTTGGGATATTTGGGGTTAAATGCCTTTGGGTTTGAATTGTACTAGGCTGGATGACCTTCTGGGAAGTCCAAAGTCGGGAGCTTACATTTGGTATGAAAGAGGTCTTAGGTCAGACTCTATTAGTTGGTTACACTATATATTGATTGACATCTGGTAGGTCTAGTTTGCTCTGGTTAGGCTTGACTCCAGGGGAAGGGTGTCAAGAGAGTGAGGCGAGAGGAGAGAGAAAAAGCTGTGGCTCTCAACTTCCGTTCATGAGAGCATGAATTTGCAAGGAAGTGTGGTGGATTGTAAGGAATCAAAGGGAACGACTCGAGAGATGATCCATAAGGGTTCAAATATAAAGGGAAAGGGCTCGTGAACAAGAATGCACCCCCTTTTTCAATTGATTAAAGGTTTTTAAGTGTTTTTAAGTTTGAATATTATTGGGTTGAATGACTTTTTAGGAAGTCTAAACTTAAGAGCTTACAAAACTTTCTTGCCAAGATGGCAAACTTCACCTAAATGGCTAGTTAGGAGTGTGATGCCTTCAACAAATTGGTTGCAAGCTAAGGCATGCAAATTTAGTTCATTGACATGCCCCATATTAGCATGCCACAACTTGATAGTTTCACATGCTTGAAGGGTAAGCACTTGAGCTAGAAATACCAGTTCCATGTTTAAATGGTAGAGAGTTTCATACTTGATACCACTAGCCATATGAGTATTATATGAGCATAGATTGTGCACCCTTCTATCAAGAAAGTGGTGGTAAAGCTTTGATTTGAGGCTGCACTTATGGAAAAAACAGTCTACCATATTTGCAACTTCCTTTTTGTCCACTACTATCAATATCATTTTATTTTTTATCTTAACTATGCCTTTTTTCCCCAACTCAAAAATCTTTGTGATCCTTTAGTGACTCTTGTGATTGGTAAGTTCCCAATTGTGCTGGGTATTGGACCTGTTAAATTATTCCCTCTCAAACTGTTCTAATTTACTCATATTGGAAATAGTTTCAAGAATTTCTCCACTCAACCTTTGCTACAATTTTTTAACAATTCTGGAATTAGATAAATTTGAGAGGCAACTTTACCAGCTCACAATTTGAGAGAAATGGAGGAATTTGGCCATTGATTCTGATGGATTAAAACCTTAGACATGATTTTCTTACCTAATTTTGGGATCTCACTAAAGCGAAAATAAATTGTTATGTGTTGCATCTTGGTTTGTTTAATAATAGTGTTATTCTGACTTATTAATTCAATTGATCAAATAAAGTATAGTTACAAGCATGTTTGTAATTTATGAACTCTAATTTTATTATATATCAACCATTAGATGATAGAATAAAAAAGAATATACTAGAAAGGGTTTAAGACAATTTATACCTGATGTAATTTACATCATCGGGGTCAGGCCCAACTCACCCGAACTCTTGAATCACGGATTAAAAATAATATTGAGAGAAGCGAGAGAAAAAAAAGGAAAAAGAGAAGAGAGAGAAAAGATGGCGTTCCTTCGACTCTCAGAGCTGGAAAATTGTGGTGGTGGAGCTGATCGCGTTGTAGATGAGCGTCCCCGCTGTGGGAGTGAACTGCTTGGTCACCAGCTTGATGGCTTCCTGCGACGCAATCCCCCCGACGACAGCGCCCACACAGTGGATCTCCCCGCCTCCAAACCGGGAAAACTCGTACACGAACTCCTCCGAGACGCCACCGTCCACTCCAATCTCGCCCGCCAGTTTGTGCGCAATCGCCCCCAGCTTGGCCGCGTCCTCCTCCACCGTCTCGTCCGCCATAGCCCCCGGGAACCTCCCAAACTCCTCGGCAAATCTGTCCACCGCTCGAAACATGAGGTAGATCGCGTAGTTTGCGTTGTCTCCCTCGAACGGGAGATACTTCTGGAGCTTGGCCCCTACCTCTTTCAAGCCCAGCTCCTCCGCCAGCGAGCTGTACCTCAGCACCCTCAAGTTCCTCGAGTTCTTGCAAAAGTGCTTGATCGCGGCCCTGGAGATGGAGTCCGGGTCTCTTCCCAGCTGCGAGAGGATGCTCCTTACGTGGGCTTCCACGGCCGAGACGTCCGACTCGGCCTTGGCCTGGTAGCAGCGCTGGAGGAGGATGTAGTACTCGGTGAAGGAATGCATGTCCGGGATGGCACCGTCGAGTGGAAACTCTCCGCCACCCTCCGAGGCCACGAATCCCTTGAGCGCCGCAACGAGTATCCAAAAGTCCGAGGAGCTAGAGTCGACGTCGGCAGCGCCGTCTTCCAGGATGGCTTTCACTTCCGAGCTCAGCGATGGCGGAGACCAGACTTTGCTCGCCGCCGCCACCGCCTCCTTGTAGTTGTCCTCGTCCTGTGCCTGCTTCTTCGACGCCACCAGGGACTTAAACTCGGATCTCTCCTTGGTGGTCGACGGGAGAGCGCCGCCGTGCTTGCTCCTCCACTCCTCACACACCTTGAGAAGGATGATCGCGAAAGGGATGTGCTTGTGGACGAGAGAGTCCTCGGTCTCCAAGTTAAACTCTTTGACGAACGTGGTGAGCTCCGGCCATGGCCTGTGGAGCCGGAGATCGCTCACGGTGTTGTCGGGCTTGCTCTCGATCACCGCGTGCTCGCGGAGGCTGATCCTCACGTACCCGGTCAGTCCATAGGATCGCGCGACGAGCAGCATCACGGAGAAGCGCCGGCAAACCTCGTCCAGGATCACCAAGCTCCTGTCACGCATCTGGGTGGCGATCACGAGCGTGAACCTCGCGAAGAATCCCGGGTCGGAGTCAAGCAGAGACTCGGGCGAGGCGTCGATGTGGTCGATCAACACCGAGTCGTTCATCTCCTGGAGCAATGCGGCCATGCTCTTGGCTCGTGGCTGGCCTAGATTCTCGGCGCTTAGGAGGAAATTGTTGCCAAGGTCGGATTCCTGGACCAATCCCCCGTCCACGGCCGTGACATTGCCAATCCCTCCCAGGACGAGATTCTTGAGCGCCTCGCTGCCCGTGGCTCCGCAATTCAAGAGGCAGACGCTAGCTTGCTCCAGCGCGCCTTGCCCGTGCTCACCCCAAATCCGGAGCTGCCGATCATACTTGTTGCTCCTCGTCGCCGCCGCCGCCGCCGCCTTCTTTTGCTCGTCGCCGCTGCCGCCATTGGCGTGCGCCATCAAACCTGGGCAGTGGCGAATCGCAGCAGCCCCGTCGCGCTCCTCCTTGCCCGCCGCTGCTGCCTCCTCCCGCTCGCGTTTCATGCCTGGAGCATCGGCCCTAGCAAACCCTAGCCTGTCGGAAGAACCCTAAAATGGTAACCTAGTACGCATCACCTTTTCAGCTGGCAAAAATACGAAGTAAAATCTCGCACCCTAAAATCTTTTACCTGCCTTTCAGCTGATCGTAGAAAGTAACTACCTCGGGGTGAACTCGGATCTTGAGGGGATCGAATCCCAGTAGCCGCAGTCCGTGCAAGCTCCGTACTCTGGAGAGCGCGACGTACACCATGCCGTACTCAAAGGTCCTGGAGAGGTCCGTCTCCACGCAGTCGAGCGTCATCCCCTGGCACTTGTGGACGCTCAATGCCCACGCCAGGATCAATGGAAGCTGCAATCTCTTGGCCACTTCCACCTCGCCTTCCATGACGCTCCACGCCTCCGGCCGGATGATCCACTCGCTAGAACCCGAGTGATTGAATCGCACCACCGGGAGTCCTCCGCCTGGCGAGATCCGGAGCTCGCTCTTCTCCGGGGCCGTGAAGCCCACCACGATCCCGCGAGCTCCATTCACGAGCCCCTGCTCGGTGCCAAGGTTCTTGATGAGCATCACTTGGGCTCCGATCGCGAGCGTGATCTCGGCTTCCGCGCGGCTGCCGTTGAGCATCTGTGTTCTTCCCGAGTCCTTGGCGGAGAAGGTGACGGACTTTGACGATGGGTTGAGTGACCGGAGCTTCTGCTCGTTCTCGCGGTCGACGTCGGCTCGCCGGGGATAGAGTCGCGTCGGCTCGATGCCTGGGGCAGTGGAGATGCTTGTGCAAGACTTGAGCCTCGTCTCGGTGGCGAAAGAGCACTCGCCGCGGCGGATCTCGTTAAGCATCCCGACGAACTCCCGATCCGACTGGCGGAAAACCTGTGTCAGCTCCATCTGGAGATCGAAGCATTCCTTCCAGCACTTCGCGCTGAAGACGAACGACTTGGTCTCTCCGGGCTTTTGAACTGGCGGGAGCTGAAAGAAATCGCCGGTGACGATCAGCTGCAAGCCACCGAAACGCTCTTTGCTCCTCCTCACGGCTCGCCCCACAAAGTCCACCTTGTCGAAGAGCTCCGCATCGATCATGCTTATCTCGTCAATCACCAGAGCCGCAGCGTTGAGCCATCTCTGTTTCTTCTCCTTGCTTCTCATCACCATGTCGACGAGCTGCTCCTTCTTCGAGAGCCCGATGCCCACTCCAGCGAAAGCGTGAAAGGTAGTACCACCGATCGCGCACGCAGCAATCCCGGTTGACGCTGTCACGTAAACTGCCGATGGATGGTAGACAGTCCTCAAAACTTGGATGGCTCTCTCGAGAATGTAGCTCTTTCCTGTTCCAGCCGAGCCCGTCACAAAGACCGATTGCCTGTTACACACCGCCTCCAAGACCCTGAGCTGCTCGGGAGAAGGAGTAGCCTCTTTCGTCTCAAAGTTGCCATTTTTGTTGCCAGAAGAAGTTCCTTCGTCCGCGGTGCCCATCTTCACTGCCTTGCAAGGACCAAAACTTTCTTTCTCGGGACTTGGCCGCTTTCTAGTCTCCCTCCAGCCTTCACTCTCCAAGTTCCTCACAAGAGTATCTTCTTTCCGGACGAGCGGCGGCGCTGGAATGCTGGGCTGAGCTCTGACGGTGGAATGGATAACTTCATCGTCCGATTCCCCTAGAACGATCACTTCCGGCTTCGATTTGGACGACTCACGAATGGGGCTGCTCGTAATATCGATCACTTCCTGCTGGGATGGTGTAGGAACCAGCGTACTACCTGACATTCTCGCCTGTCGCCGCGCAAGCGCCAGGTCCCTCTGCCGTAGGGCTCGATTTCTCTGCTGTTCCGTCAATACCCTCGACTGATCGTCTTTCAGCATGATCACATCCATCTCTCGGCCTGCAGCAAAGAATCTCGTTACCTAGAGGAGAGCGCAAGAGATTTCAATGATCATACCTCGCTCCACAAGCCCCACGAATGAAGAACCCTAAGTGGGAAGAGTAGTCAAAGCGCGAAACTTTCAAAATTTGGGCGCGAAGTGGGCGGCTGAGATTTAAAAAAAACGAGTAAATGCCATCGAATCCTAAAAGAATATGCTTCGGCGTCGTTTGGAGCAAGGGAGAGCTTTGGCGCATTCCATCGCGGCGCGACGAGCAATCGCATCCCTGATCGATCATCCTAGGAGGCGGCGCTAGGATCGGGAGTTAGGGTAGATTAGGGCCGGCATTTCTCCCGGAGGAATGAAGCGCGGCAACAGCCACAGCAGAGCGAGGTAAGATCGATCATTCGATCGATCGATCGCGAGAGCGCATTTCTTCGTTGCTGATCTCTGTGCTCGTGATCGTTTCCCAGTTTCAGAGTAGCGTGGGACGAGAACAATCTCGACTATCTGGAGACGCACAAGACGCCCAAGCAGAAGATCGACGAGCCAAAGACGCCATTCCACGCGCCTGGTACGTCGAGATCTGGCCTTTTGCTCGCGATCCACCGAAATATTTCCCCCTCTTCAGAGAAATCTTTCTTCTTGGCTTGGCGCAGGAGATTTGTCGCCGATTCCCGACGACTCCAAGACGTCCGTGGATCCCAATGTCCTCCGCCACGCTCTCGAGAACGTCGCCTCCTCCAGCAGCGATCACGGATCTAGCAGCAGTGCTAGCAACGGGAAATCGAGGCGCAAGAGTTTTGAGGATGTCCGGCGCGAGCACTACTCCGAGTTTAAGACGTCCAAGATGCTACTCCAGAATGTGAAGGATGAGGAGGATTTGGATCTGGACAGGAACCAATTGGCCGGCGGTGTTAGCGGGATTAGAATCGAGGAGAATAGCCAGGGATCATCCAAGTCGAGCTGAGAAGAGCAAGCGATCTTCTCTTTCTCTCTGGGAAGAACACACAGGGACAGGGAAGGATCCTCTCATCGGTTTTTCTGCCTCTCTTCTTTCGCTACATCATTGAGGGGCCGGGGACCTGGCCATTTCATTGGTTTGGCCGGGCAGGGGATTGGGCCACGTGTCCTGTGGCCGGAGACGTGGCAGTTTGATTGGTTTGGCCGGGGGTTGGGCCACGTGGCAGAACCCTATTTCTAAGCGATGGTGAAGCTAGCAGCCCGTGTGATTTCTTCGCTGTTCTCGCGGGCTACTAGTGGGAGATGGAGGCTCAGTGCAAGTGTTGGGCGCTACTATCTCATGGAGAGGACGAGTCGGGGCTGGAATTCCACCGGGAGCTCTCGCTTGGCGGAGGCGAGAGGATTTCACTCGGCCGGGGCATGGTGTGGAGCTCAAGAGGGCTCGAATGGCACTGCCACAGTCGACTATAGGTATGTAAGAACTTATCTATGATTCGATTTGCTGATTTCTTTCCTTGGTTCCAGCTCTCAATTGCCCGAGAAAGAGTTCCACAGTGTTGCAAACGAGACGCTCCACCGTTTGCAAGAGAAGATCGACGTAAGTGTGAGAATGCGAGCGGTGGAAAGATCCATTCTAACTTTGTATTGGGCGATCAGGAATACGGGGAGAAGCTCGCGATTGATGGCTTCGACACTGACTTCGCTGTAAGCTAGCCGCTGCCTTGATCTTCTTTTCCTCCTAGCGCTGTGGTTCTTTCCAGGAGGGAGTTCTCACTGTTCGTCTGGGTGATCTGGGAACTTATGTTATCAACAAGCAAACTCCAAACCGGCAAATCTGGCTCTCATCTCCTGTGAGGTATGATCTTCCACTCGCATTTTTCGATCGATCTCATGGTTTTGGAACAGTGGCCCGGCGAGATTCGACTGGCAGGATTTACAGTGGGTCTATCGACGCACGAAAGTGGAGCTCCAAAGCTTGCTAGAAAAGGAATTGAGTGAACTCTTGGGACACTCCATCGATCTGGGAGAATGAAAAGCTCCTTTAAGCCCTAACCCTAAAACCAGAGAGAGAAAGGTAACGGGTAGTAGAAACCAGGTAACTGTTACTACGTTTGCGATTTGTCCGCCGGTAGGTTCTGGCGAGAGCGCACTGGGCAATAGCCTTATCCGCCGGTCCATTCAATGAGGAAGAGAATGTGGCTATGGCGATATTTGAGCTCCATTTGGCGGTGTCGCGGAGGTAGGGTTTTGTGCGGCAGCGAGGCTGGACGGATCGAGCGCTCGAAATATTCAATCGACTGAGCATGCAGCGCGCTTTGATCTGGTATGGATGATGCCGGAGCTCCGGATTCCTCTTGCATTGTAGATCGCGAGCAGGGAGGAATCGGTCAAGAGAATGGCGCGGCGGCAATGCAGGAGGAGCGATCGGGCGGCGAGCCAGCGCCCGATGTTCCAGAGATTCCAGAGATCGTCTTGACCAAGGCGCTGTGGCGGCAGATTAGGAGCTTGCAAGAGACCGAGAAAGAGGTACAAGAGAGGCTAGAGAGGCAGAAGGTCCAGCAGCTGGTCGACAAGGTAGAAGACGAGGTGGAGTATGAGGGAATTCTGGACGATGTGTGCTCGAGGATTAGAGCCGAGGAGGAGGCCATGGAGGTGGAGCGACGAGAGCGTGAGTGGGAGCTCGAGCGTAGAGAGCAAGAACTGGAAGAACAGGTGGAAGTGTTGAAGGATAGAGTTAAGAGATTGGAGGAAGAGCTTAGAATGGCACAGCTTGAAAGCACGCCGGCCGATGTGATGCAGAAGATGCTCCACGAGGGGGATGGAAATCAAGCTCTGATGATCGAGAATGTGGTACCGAAAGATATCGAAGTGCTCGATGGTGGTGGTGGTGGTGATGGTGATGGTGGTGACAAGCCGCTGCCAAATCCCACCCACGACATCCTCGTCGCGTTTGAGGACATGCTCAAGGAGGCGGACGAGCGGCACGATCGAGAGAAGAAAGCTATGGAAGATACCATTCTCGAGAAAGAGAAGACCGAGAGAAAGTTTCGGCACGAGCGGTACGAATGGCGTGCTCGTCTCAAGCAGATGGAGAGCCAGATGCTGGCGATGGAGAAAGAGATTGGACGCGCTTCCGGACTGCTGAAGGAAAGAGATTCTGTCGTGGCGATGGAGAAGGAGCGGAGACTGGCCGCGGAGGAAGCGGCTGCAAAGTTTTCTAGTCTGCTCAAGGATGAAAGGTTGGCGCACAAATTTGCGACGGTAAAGCTCAAGAAGGTCGAGAGTTTTTTCAACAAGCTGAAGGACAGGATAGCGAGAGAGAAAGCTGGAAATGCGAGCAGTGCCTTCCTCACGGAACTTGAGAAAGAAGTTGGGAGGCTCTCGTCGATTTTCAGCGTGAAAAAAGACTTGCACAAGGCGATGGAAGGCGAGCAGTTTGAAGCGTTGAAGAAGCAGCGTGACGCAGCCGTGGCCGAGAGAGACAAGCTCGAAGAGAAACTTAACCGGTTGCTAAAGAGGTCTAGGGATCGAGAGGCAGAAATCGATGCGATGTGGCTTGAACGGGAGAAGTTGCTTATCGAGAAGGTGACTTCACTGGAAGAGAGGACGGAACGGTATGAAGAGGATATTGCGTTGGAGAAAAGATCGCGGAGACAAAATGCCGGAGAGTACCGGAAGGATTGGGATAATGAAAAGAGTGCGCTGGAGGAAGCCGTTCGGGATAGAGAAAATGCGCTAAAAGCACAGAGAGAGGAGACTCAACGTCTTATAGAAGAGAAGGACCGAGAGCTTCATACGCTTAAAACGGTGCACCAACAGCTGCTGCGCGACCTTGCTCTGTATAAGAAGCATAAGAAGCAGGACCTTGAAGAACGAACCGACTCTTCTCAGGATACCAGGCCGGAACAAAGTGTCGACCAAAGTGGCGATGCAATGGCTGTGGACCTTGAGAGACATTCAGAAGGAGCTTCAAACAGATCGGACAGCGTGGGAACAGAGAAGGCGAGTTCCGAAAGAAGCGAGCTGGAAGAGAAAGTTATTGACACACTATCGCTGGTGGAGGAGCTGAAAAGCAAAATGAACGAGAAGGAAAGCCAAATGCAGTGGGAAAGAAAGCAAATGGAGACCATCGTAACCAACAGGACTGCTGAAGCCGAAAGCCTGAGGAGACAGCTCGAGTCAAAGGAGCTTGAGATGGAAACTCGGGTCGACAAATTCCGGAGCGAAATGCAGCTTATGGAACGGGAGCTTGAGAAGGAAAGACTGGAGAGAGAAAGTGTGCTTGCATCGAAGGGGAAGCTAGTGGCAGAGGTGCAGAAGAGAGTGAACGAGATGGTGCAAGAGCTGTCAAGTTTGAGGTTGGAGTTGCGCAAGAAAACGGAGGAGCTTGATTGCTTGAAAAGAGAGAAAAGGATGGAAGAAGCTCGCATTTCGAAGGTGCTTGTGGTCCAGAAAGAGCTCGAAGACGAAGTCTCAAGGTTGCAGCACGAGAACGCGGAGCTAAGTTTTGCAGTAGCAGCTCCAGAGAACGGCATGGACAGTGAACGGACAGGAGACACAAGCAGCAGTTCTGGTGACAAGAGACACGAAGAGTGGCAATTTGCTCTGGAGAAGGTTGCCGTATTCGACAAGCAGATTAGCGAGGCAATGCTTGCGATACAAAACCTGCGGGAAGAGCTGTGCGTGAAGGAGGCTGAGCTACAAAAGGCCAGGAGTGAACCCGAACTGGAGCTAGAAAGACGGGAAGAAGCGTGGACGCAAGAACGAGAACGCCAAGAGGCAATGTACGCACAGAAGGTGGAAACTTGGAGGAGAACGGAGCAGAAAATTCTGGCCGAGAAGACGGAGCTGCTAAAGGTGCTAGAGACGGAGCGCTCTGAGAGCTCCGATGCGATCGCGCTCTTAAACGGGACCATCAGAGAACTGCAGTGGACTTTGATGAGGAAAGCTCCGGACGAGAGCGTGGATCACTTGTTCAAGAGCACGCCAAAAGGTGACATGGTTAAAGTTCACGCTTCTCACTTGAACGAGGTGGATCAGTACATATGTGAGCTGAAAGGCAAGGTGGTGGAGCTGGAGAGATCGAAAGTGAAGAAGCCAACGAGAGAGGAAGAGCTGGACGAAGCCTTGCTTCATGTGGAGAAGGAGATGCTGAGCGTTTCTCCGGATAGGAGGTCCAGGCTGATCAAATATGGTTCTCCGCCGTCAGTGCGACCGCGAGCAGTCGAGAGAAGCCTCACGAGCTTGATGGTCCAACCGGGAACTTCGAGTGATCGATCATGGAATCCTCTAAGGTACTCGAAACTTTTTTCTTTCTGTTTTCTATTCTCACTGTTGGAGATTTTAGCTGCGTGTCCAGGGATAACACGATCGAGGACCGATGGACTCATGAATTGCCGGCTCCGGAAGCTCTTTCTCTGGCAGTACCACCGCGGCAGCAGAAAAAATGGATAGTTGACACTTCCTGGCTCGATCAAGTGCGAAAGGTACACAAACTTTGGCAGCACTTCATGCGAAGCTTACATGCTCTTGACAGGAGCACTCGTTTCTAACACAACAGCTTGCTTTAGAGCGTCAGAGACTCGCAGCTCTTGGCCAGGTGATTGAATTGAGGCTCGTAGATTTTGTTACTAGCTGCAACGATGATCGTCTAAACAGGTCGAAGCTGAGAATCACTGGCTGGAGGCGATGATGCTGAGAGCCTTGGAGCAAAAGAAAGAATGCGAGCTCAAGCTTTCACAGCTTCAAGACAAGGTCAGTGAAGTGAGATCATAGATTTTCCAAGCTCAAGGAGCTTTGTCTGCGTTGGTTCTTTCAGATTTCTCCTTGGAGCCAGAAAAGAGCGAGCTAGAATCTCTCGGAAGGTCGAGGAATTTTTTTCTTCCTTTAAATGCGTAGAATATTCTCTCTTCCCTACGTGGCTTCCAAGTTTTAGGGTTTATGGCGTTAGGGTGTGGTGCTACACGAGCTCCGTGATCGACACCGCGACTCTAGGTCGCATTGACGATGCTGCGTAGTGTTGACCAGCGCAGGCTTGCGAGGCGATTCGTCGCGCCTCGGCTGCATTCTCTCCATTCCTTTTCTTTCCTCCATCAGAATGCTCCCGCAGGAGAAGCCGCGACGCCGAGCTTCGCCCCCGATCATGCCCTCCAGGATCGCAAGGCCGCGGCATTTCGAGGATTGGGGCCTTTTGGCGTCGTCCAAGGATTGGCGGAGGAGAAATTTCAGGCCAGCGCTGGAGCGAAATCCAGGTTTCTGTCTAGCTCCACCAGGTTTCCTTGCGCGCCATCGCGCTCGTCGGCAGTCCAGGTCGATGAGGACGAGCCGGAAGAAAAGCCGGCCAAGCACGATCCATCTCCGGAGGAATGCGACCAGGCAGTGGAAGGATTGAGCTCCGCCAAGGCCAAAGCGCTCACCAAAGAAGCTCCAAAGAAAGTTAGCGTTGTGACAAGGGTGTGGAACGCTCTGATCGGGATTGGACCAGCGCTCAGGGCCATCGCTTCTATGAGCAGGCTAGTATTTCCTTCCTCTCTTCCAGGCAGAAAAATCTAACACTCGTTTTTTAATTTTTAATTTTTTTTTTCTTGTAGAGCGGACTGGGCTGTGAAGATCAAAGGGTGGTCGAAGTCTCTCAAGGAAACTCTGCAGCACTACTGGCTCGGGACAAAGCTCCTGTGGGTTGACGTGAGGATCTCGTCGCGGCTTTTGTTAAAGCTTCTCCGGGGACAGACTTTGTCTCGCCGCGAGAGGAAGCAGCTGACGCGAACAGCGGCCGACATTTTCAGATTGGTCCCGTTTGCGGTGTTCATCATCGTCCCTTTTATGGAGTTCCTTCTCCCGGTGTTTCTCAAAGTCTTTCCCAACATGCTCCCATCGACGTTTCAAGACAAGATGAAAGAACAGGTAAGCGGTTTGCTACCTTCTAGGATCACGTACAACGATCTTTGTTTCCTTGCTGTAGGAGAAGCTGAAGAAGAGGCTGAATGCACGCATGGAGTACGCGAGGTTCTTACAGGAGACAGTGGAGGAAATGGCCAAGGAGGTAAAGACAAAGAGTAACAGCAGCGACGTCCAACGGACTGCCGAGGACTTGACTGAGTTCTTAGTGAAAGTAAGTCCCGCAACATGCTTTGCAACCAGCTTTACTCGTATGTTTGGCTACTTTTCTAGGTTCGAACTGGTAGGAGAGTCAGCAACGAGGACATACTTGCATTCGCAAAGTTTTTCAACGACGAGCTGACACTTGATAACATCTCCAGGTTTGCCTCGAGTATGAACAAATGATAGCATTCTTTTTGTTTTCTACTACTACTACAGGCCCCGGCTTTTAAACATGTGCAAATACATGGGGATTCAGGCGTATGGAACTGACGCATACTTGCGGTACAGCCTTCGTCAAAAGTTGGCTCGGTAAGTTTACTTGCTGCTTGTTCCAAGAGTTTTAAACGCCTGTGTTTTATAGCATCAAAGCCGATGATATAATGATTCAAACCGAAGGCATAGATTCTCTATCAGAACCGGAGCTGGTGTCAGCGTGTAGAGAACGAGGAATACTTGAAATCACTTCTGTTGACGAGCTAAAACAACAGGTATGCTGGTTTTAGGGAATACCTTGTCAGGCTCAATCAATTTTTCTGGCAGCTACGCAACTGGCTCGATCTGTCTTTGAACCATGCTCTTCCCTCTTCACTGCTTATCCTCTCGAGGTTGGTTGCCGTTGTTCTAATGCTGCTTTAATCTAACCTGAGCTTTTGTCATTTTTTTTTCCAAGGGCGTTCCTCTCTGGCAACCTGAAGCTCGAAGAAGCAGTCCAGGCAACGCTGCTTTCTTTGCCGGATGAGGTCGTGGAATCCGTCGGTGTGACGGTCCTTCCAAGCGAAGATGCTCTGGAAGAGCGGCTACGGAAGATAGAGTACCTGCAGTCGCAGGAGGAGTTTATCAAGGCATGCAGAGTTTATATTCCTCTTGTTTCCTGATTGGACTCATGTTTTGTCGAAGCAGGAAGAGGCAGAAGACGAGGAAGAAGAACTGGAGAGACGACGCAAGCAAGAGGCAGCTGAACAAGTTGACAAGGCACTATCAGAGATGAAGGTGTCTACTGCGCAGGAGGCTGTAGAGCTAGCAAGGGAGAAGCGGAAAGAGCAACAAGACAGACTGTGCAAGCTCAGTAGCGCACTTGCTGTCTTGGCCTCGGCATCCTCTGTCAGCAAGGAAAGGGGAGAGTTCCTGCGGCTTGTCAACAAAGAGGTACGACAGTGTTTGTGCTACGCTTGACTAAGCTGCGGGTTTTCCAGATTGGAATCTACAATAGCATGCTGGAGGACACAGGCGCGGAAGAGGCGAAAAAGGCATATCAGGCCGCAAGAATGAAGGACAAAGAGGAGGACAAAGACGACGCGTCTACTGGCACGAAGATCTCACAAGCCTTGATTTCGAAGGTGGAGAAATGCTTTTCACATCCATGTTTGACTGACAAGAGAGAGCCTTTCGTTTGTTTCCAGGTTGACAGAATGCTCCATAAGCTGGAGAAGGAGATTGACGCTGTGGATGCCGAGATTGGAGACAAATGGAGAATCCTGGACAGGTTTAGTTTTGATTTACTCGTCCTCGATGGATTCTTTTCTCACATTTTGTCATTCAGAGACTCGGATGGTAAAGTCACAGCCGAGGAGGTGGCCGCGGCGGCGATGTTCCTGAAAGACACCCTGGGCCACGAGCCTGTCCAAGAGCTCGTTAGCAAGCTCGCGAAAGATCCGGGTAAGCTTTTGTGGAAAAAGCAAACTCTCGCTTTTCGTGCTAAGTTTTCTCGGTTTTCTCCAGAGGGAAAAATTCTAGTGGAGGACATTGTGAAGCTTGGCACCACGGCGGACTCGGAAGTTCTAGCGAATGAGTTGAATGAAAGCGCGAAAAAGAAGAAGCAGAAGCAGCAGCAGGAGCAGCAGCAGGAGCAGCAGCAGCAGCAAAAGAGCTGAAAAAAATTTTGATCCGAGAAGTTCTAAATTTTTTCTTTTTCTTCTTTCCTCCAGAGTGAGAAAGAACGAACCGAGTGAGCTCGTTGTGTATAAAATGGAGAAGAGATATTGTTACCTATAGCCACATTTTTAGGTCTAAGATTTTGGGTTTCGCGATGGACCGCGGTCCCTCTGGAGCCAACGAGATCGTCGCGATCCTCCAGAGAGCGCGCAGATTGATCAGCGAGGGGAATCCGGGCCTCGCGCTGCAAGCGGTGAGTGATTTCTTCGCGCATTGTATCGTTTCCTTGCTGCTGGCTTGCCCTAAGCGATTGTCAATGTCGCTCGTTCTTTTGGCTACTTTGAAGTTTGTAGCTCGGCAACTATGAACAGTTTTCTTTTCATCCTTTTTTTGGTTCTCTGGTGGTGTGACTGTTTTCTCCTAGATTGTTTGTTTGCGTTCCATAGTTTTTCCGAGGATCGATTGCCGCAACCTGTGAAAATCTCTCTAGGTGGTGTGACTAGTTTTCTCCATAGTTTTTTCCAAGGATTGCTTGCCGACACAACTTTGAGAGCTTTTCTAACATCTGTGGAAATCGCTCTAGGTGGTGACAGCGTTAAGGATCTCCGCAGGCGAGGCAGAAATAGTCCCGGCCTTGAGACGAGCACACGAAGAGTACCTCAGCCAAGCCAAAGCCGCCGCGGTTGCCAGCGATCTCTCAGCGTTGTTTGCCGAGGCTTGCGCCATTGTGGAAGAAGCCTCCCAAAAATCCCACAACAGCAGCGATCAGGCGGCCACCACCTCCACGCCGACTTTGGCACCCACGGCAGCGGGCATGGACTTTGCGATGACGGAGAATGGATCATCCTCGTCGTCGTCCCAGGATCATCACTCCCACGCCACGCCGGACCTCGTCCCGATCCTCGCCGAGAGTGGAAGGATGCAAGTGGTGGTGGACGCGTCGGCCGATGGAAGCAGCTTTGTGTGCCGCGACTGCGGTGGATTGGTGAGCAGTGCTCGACGAGACGAGCATTTTGCGTTTTGGTGCAGCAGCCTAGAGCCAGGATCCAAGCGATTTGGATCTGGCAGCAACGATCACAACGACGAGAACGAGAACTATATGCATTGCTGATGGTTTCTTGTCCATCCAGAGGCTATAAACGAGAAACAGCTCAACGCTCTCCCTCTCGGAGAACGAGAACTACATGCATTGCGACGGCTGCTAAGAAATTATAAATGAAGCTTAAAAAATCGTCAGTATGTCTGTCTGAAATGGTAATATATCCTTCTTCTAGTTGATTTAATCAGAACTGTTATTATAATTGCTAGTACGTTATTATAATTTTTAACTGAAAACTAAAACTATGTTAAATTTAAATTCAAGAAATTAAAAACTTAAGCTTGAGATTAATAAGAGAAATTTAATCCTATAAATATCATTTTTAATACATTATGTTATACATATCAATTAGCCCAAAAGCCCTAGTTTATATACAAGAGCGAGTAGAAACCAATCTGACAATTATTAAAATCCCACTACACTAATATTAGTATATGGTATTGTAGTTGTACATTTGGACCTTACAAAACTATAAATTTTTATATTATATGAAAAAGATTTTCTATATTCCCTTTCTATATTCCATGCACTCACATTGGTGGAGTTAAGAGGCATCGTTGATTGTTTTTGAAGAGTGCTTGGATTTGGGATTTTAGTTTAGATTTAGCTTTTTCCATTTCATTTCTTTTGTTCTTTCCTTTCAAGATTTTAATTTTAATTTAGTTTTTGCATTGTCTAAATCTCTATTCTCTTCTAACTTTTTTAATTTCTTTTCTTTTACTCTTTCCTTTTCATTCATCTTCATGGTAGAGAAATAATCTCCTCCTTTGACTCTGGAGCAATAGTTGGTGCAATTGCTTAATGCTATGCATTTGTAATTGAATAACTAAACTCAGTTGATGGTGGCATTCATAGCACGTGGTACAGCTCCTTCTACTTTTTGTGCCAATCCTTGCGTTCCACTAGAGTTCTTTCATGGGAATCCAGAGGATGATGTGTACCATTCATTTGATCACTTCATAGTGATTACCACATATCATTTTTGAGATGATGCTTAATATTCGCATGAGTTTCCCATGTGTTTCTAAGGGATGCCATTATAGTAGTACAATGGTTTGAATGCAGCCACTCGTGGGGATTGGAGTGTTCTCCCGGACATCTTCAAAAACACATTCGAACATGCTGATGATTGTGATGACGCCTTCCAACAATTGCATCATCTTCATCAAAAGCTATCTGAGTTAGTGATGCAATTTGGTGTTCGTTTTCGAAGCCTCTTACTTTGTGCAGAGCCAAATATGTCAAAGCGGATCAAGCTAGGAATGTTGTGGCCAACACTTCATCAAGATTTTGTTGAACTTGTGCATGCACTTGCTTTAGCCACTCTTAACGATGCTTTTCGCTTGACACAATGTTATGAGACTCGCTACACCTCCTTCAGCTCCCTGTTCCAATGGAGGTTGATGTTACTACGACTTGAGTCCAAGGACAAGGGCAAGGATGAGGTTGTGGCTCTAATGTTCATTATTGGGCATGTGATGAAATTGGTCACACTTATCAGCATTGTCGGCATTTTCCAGATTGGCAGCCTTCATTTCCTGGGTGGAGACCTTGGTGTCAACAACGTCCTATTGGTGCTGCTGCAGTGGAAAGTTTGAACATCGAGATGCATTCAGGAAATGAGGAGTTGTGTGAGTAACGGAGAGACTTTGCGCAAATAAGTCAGCGACCCTTCCATCTTTTGTTCAGGAGTATCATCAAAGGGTTCATTCGGCACCAATTCATCTAATGTTTACTTTTCAAGCTCATTTTTATAATAAGAGGTCTTCTATTATTCTCTCTATGTTGGTTGTATCTTCGACTTTGATTAACTTGGTTACTAAAATGTTTTGGGTGGTGATTCACTCTTGCTTTTTTTTAGTTTGGTTGATATAGGTTTGACTTTATTTTCTATTGTTTGACCTGTTGCCATATATTGCTATTTACACTTGCGTCATGTGACGGAGCTAGTTTTCATTCTTTATAGCAACGGCTGTACACATGCATGTGCGCGGGATGAGGTAGATCTGGTTATGCATGTTGGCAATCTCAAGCTTGAGTTGTAGTTATTGCGGGTGGTGTTGAGTCAAGCTTTTGATCTTATTCTTGGTATGGATTGGTTACAATGCAATCATGCCAAGTGTGACTTTGAGACTTCTCCTCCTTGTGTAATATTTTCTTATATTTCATCCATTCTTTTCACTTCCGTACCTCTTCGTTCCTCTACTTCTACCTCTACTTCTATTATTTTTGTCTCCCCATTAGTTCCTCCTATGTTTTCATTTTGTTCTACTCTTCCCTTTTCGATCCCTTCAACAGTCTCTGTGTTGCAGCGGTTGACCAACTTATGAAGGAGTATGTTGATCTCTTTGAATTTGACTTGTCATCTAGGGCCAAGATTGCCACATATCATCTGATTCCAATTAGGGATGCTCGTCCAATTAAGGTTCTTGTTCGTCGTCGGTCACCCAAAGAGATTAAGATTTTAAGTGCAAACGTCAAAGAGATGTTGGAAAATGGTGTTATTTAAAAGTTGCGAAGTCCTTGGGCATGTGGACCTCATCTTCTGATGAAATTTGATGGGAGTATTAATTTTTGTATCAACTATCGTTTGTTAAACAAAATGATGATTTTGGATATGTACCCTTTTTCTCACATTACTAATCTTTTGGATTGTCTAACTCGACCTTTCATTTTGCACGTGGATGCTTCTGATATTGGTTTTGCAAATCTGTTAATGAAAGAGAGCTCAAGTGTGGCTGATCAGTGCTATCCTATTGCATACATCAACCATATATTACAACTGGTGGAAGTGAACTACTCCACGACAGAGGAGTATTTAGCAGTAGTTTGGGGTTTTGAGAAACTTCATGCATATTTACATAGTTCTCGGATGCTACTACAAGGTGATCATGGTGCTGTTACTTCATTATTGAAGCGGAAGAACTTGGTTGATCATACTGCTCAGTGGGCTTTGAAGTTTCAGATATATAATTTTGATGTTATTCATCACCTGGGGAGTTCTATGGCTAATGTTGATGCTATTTCTTAAGCTCCTCTTCCTTCTTTATTCTCTTCTCATGTTTCTGATGAGCCTGTTGTTCTAGCATCTGTGGATTTTCTAGATGAAGATTCTATGCCATTGGTGGTTACTGTACTTGATGTTTAGTGTCCACAAGGTGTAGAGCAAGATTTACCTTCTGTTGATGAGGTTTGTGAAGCTCAAAAGATTGAGCCGTAGATTCAAAGGATTCGAAAAGAGTTTGAAAATCTTACATCACTTGTTGATGACTTATCATTTTGGCATTTATATTCTCAATGTTGCATTGAAGATAGCCTTCTTTATTTTGTGGCTATAGTGTGAGACATAAAATCCTTAGGCCCCAAAGAGGAGCTGAAACGGTGCTATGTGGTAGTGGTTGAGGTGGAAGCCAAATGATGTGACATATATCAGTGTTATATTTCAGCTGCCAAAAAGCCATTTGAAATGGCTTTTTCTTTGCCAAAAAGCCATTTCAAATGGCTTTTTGGCGGCCGAAATAAAACACTGACATATATGGACTAAAAGCTCCAATTCAAAAAGTCAAGAGCGGGAGTGGAACTCCCAACTAAGTGCTCGAGGAAGGGGCACAAAGCGAGCAATAAGTGACGCTCTAAAAAAGGGATACTAAAGGACCAACATATGATATGTGGAGGAGTCCAAGATAGAGTTCGTGATGGAGTCTAAGATGGACCAGAGATAGAGTCTGAGATGGAGTCTGAGGTGGACCAGAGATGGAGTCCGAGATGGACCCAAGAAGGAGTCTAAGATGGACCCAAGAAGAGGAGTCCGAGATGGAGTTTGAGATGGAGTCCGAGGTGGATTTGAGATGGACTCGAGATGGAGTCCAAGATGGACCCAAGAGGAGCCCGAGATGGACCTGAGATGGAGCTCGAGATGGAACCGAGATCAAGACCAAGACCGAGACTGAAACCGAGTCCAAGTCCGAAACCGGGATTGAGACCGAGTCTGAGTCCGAGTTCGAGTCTGAGTCTGAGTTTGAGTCCAAATACTAATATAGGCTATTGGGTGAAAGCCCAAAGTGATTGTCCCCTAGGGGGGGTGGCTGTTGATTCCAAAAGTATAGTAGGGAGAATGTGGGGGTTGGACCCCAATGAAGCCAGTTTGGTGAGGAAAGGCCAATGTAATCCAGGAAAGCTATACCCAGGTGTTGGGTGAGGATATATCTATTGAGGAGTCCAAGGCTAGAGTGAATATAGACTGACAAATGGGGTAGTTTAGTGAAATATTTAAGAGTTGGCTCTAGTTCCCCCAAGAGATCGAATGGTCAATGCTCCCAGTCCAAGTGTGGGTGGCACTCCTTACTTGGATATTTAGCATGGCTCCTCCTCAATTGAGTGGTGTTCTAGCTTTCTTGTCTAGAGCGGATTCTTTTGGATAATAGTCCCACATTTATAGCTGAGGCATTTCATGTTTTGACATCTTGATTAGGGATATGCCACACTTTCATGAGAGGTTATCATCTGCAATCAAACAATTTGGTGGAATGGCTCATTTGGACATTCAAAGGGATGATCACGAGTACCACAAGGTTACCACCTTCTCCATACCATCTCTTTGGTATCCATATGTCATAGGGGTGTAGAGTTCTATTGGTGCTTCATCATATAAACTTCTATATGGTCATGATCCAATATTACTAATAGAGTTGGGTTTACTTTTGCAATTGCTACGAGCTGCCAATGCTATGTCGTGGGATCAATATTTGACAAGCATTTTTCCACTTGTCTGAGCAAAGTTTGCCGAACACCTAGGCCATGTACAAGTGAGACAATAGCAGCACTACAACTCCCATCATCGTCCACCTGCGAAGTACAAAATGGATGACTTAGTGTTAGTCTATTTTCCCCATCTTACAGTATATGGTTTATCTAAGAGGCTCCTTGCTTAGTGGAAATAATTGTATCGGGTGTTGCAGCAAGTTAGACCACAAGTTTATGAGGTTTGGCATGACATCCAGCAAGCCGATCCTCCAAAAATTATGCATGTGTAGTGGTTGAAATATTTTGTACAACTGATACCACCTACAGATCCATCAATGCCTCCTCCTCATGTTTCACCAGATCTCGGCCCATCTAAAAGAGAACCCTAATGTTCTTCTATTATTCTGAGAGGAGGGGATGATGTGAGGTCCAAGTGTACGG